GGCAAAAAAATAAGCATTCCATTTCTGTCTAAAAAACCAGTTTTTCTAATATCATCGCTGCATATATCACAACAGTATAATTTTAATATTTTGAGTACTCCGACCCCCTTCAATAACCGCTGTTGTCGCCTTCATCAATTCTTCGCTTTTTTCTTTATTTGTTCAGCATTTAACTTTTTTACCCTAACGGGCTGGATGAAAAAGTCTTCAAAACAGATACTTAGGATTATCGAAAAGTAGAAAATTTTTAAACTTTGAAAAAAAATTTTTGAAAAATGTCCTATAATTTATTAGCAGACAAATTTAAGCAGAAAAAATGTGTCCAAATTGTAAAAAATTAACCACTTAAGCAAAGCAATCTTAGCCATAAAAAAAAGAGAAGACAAAAACAGTTTTATGTACCAAAAATTTTCGTGCTCAACCAAATCTTTTGGGTACAACAAATCACTAGTCATTAGTTTTTTCATTTTTCAACTTAAATCTTACACCGCCATTCAGTCATGCGCGAAAACGGTCTTTTTTTCACTTTGCTATCCCGCAGGACATCAAAGGTATACATTTCTGTACTTCGATTTAGTATGTGGTGTAAGTGAAAGCCATCCTACTGCTACATTTTCAGTTTAACCAACTGCAGCAATCCAGAAAATATAATACCTGTCTTAACAAGTAATCTTTTTGAAACGCTAATTTTCCGATAAAGCTACAACACCTTGATGTCGGTAACAGATTTGCAAAACAAATTTGTAACTACCAAAAAAAAGTTAAAATTTCATATTACGACTGGTAAAATAAATGACAAAAAAATAAACTTTCAGAAATACAGTTTGCAATAGGCTTGTTTAAAAAGATTACTGTTAAAAATTGGTTAATACCGGCGACTGCTTTAGAGTTTTCTGAGGAAGAATAAAATCATGTTCAACTTATGTTTTGAAGTAATTATTGTTTTATTTTAGAAAAAATTACACTAGATTATACAATGCGAATAAAACTTCAAATAAATTTTGATAAACATTTTTTGAAGTAAAAAACGACTTACCTGTCAAATTGTCTCTTCGTAGACCGTTTATTACACTCCAATTCATACCTGAAACTCGGTTTTTGCACCAAAATGCAATCATTCACCTGCCTATACATTATCCATTACTTTTGACGCAAAATTTAACTGTAACAAGCATTATTAGAATAAAGCAGAAAAACAATTAAAAAAGTAATTTTGAATCCAAAAAAAACAAATTAATATTAATTTTTAGGTGTTCTCCTACTCCTCCCCCGTTTCTTGGAGAATTACTGAGCTGAAATTTGTTCAGCAGTAGCGACCCAAGTTTAAAATAGAATTTTGTAGATAATTGAACCATAACTAATTTGTATAACAGTTTTTTCTTCCCAACTCTTCAAATAGCATTGTCCACCTCAAAATTTCTGACACCTAAATTATCCCACCTAATCTATAAATTGATCAGTAACGAAGTAAAAAAAGTTTTCTCACCAAAAAAAAATCAAGAACCTTACCAAAAAAATCTTATTGACAAAAAACAAATTCTGCGTTGAGGAACCTAATTTATCCCCACTCTATAAAGAGACTCAATTTCACATTTTGATCAAAATAGCCATGAAATATTTATAATTTAACAAAACAATAAATGACGAGACAAGTAAAATAAGAAACATTACTTGGGATTATACCGATTTCTTGGCTTACTTTTGAATCGCTCAAACACACACTAAGATTACCCAAAAATTCCATCGGTGGATTCACCCACCGTATGCCCAGTAGATTCAGTGTTCTGCGTTCAGCTTGCTTCCTTCTTCATCAAAGCTTCAGCAACGACACATCAAAATCAGAGAACCTCTATATTCCGGGTTACTTCCATCTCACCATCGTTCATTGATTCTATTCTATCAGTACTAATCACTACTAAAATCCAAACAACAACAAGATCTAAAACGCTGAATTTAGCGATAGTACTCAACTACAATAAATTTTTTTTCATCTTTACTGCGTATTTTGAAAAACCGAAAAACTACCGAAAAGTACCAGCAAGCTCCTTTCTATAACTGAAGCTTTCACTCTTGTTTGAGCATCTGTCTAAACTCGTTTTTAGACGAATAAACGCCGAAAATAGGCAGTAAAATATGGCCAACATTTATGTGATGGGGTTTCTTATGTTTCGCACAAAACATAAAAATTGCCTTGATAACTGGTTAAGTTACCCCTAGTTAAAACTTATCTTCTCAATATACCAAACAAAACTCGTTTTAAGTTTATTAGTTCCTCAGATTCTTTTTTTTTTT